CCGGATCAAATAAATCGACCGACGCTCGGACGAACGCTCTATTTCCAGTCAAGTAGCAGTGACAGCCAGTAGGCGGCTCACTGCTACCGACTACCATTAGAGCGTGTGTCCGAGCGTCGGTCGCGTTTTTTGATCCGGGTATTTATATGCACTAGATTAGAATCATTATTATTTACAGAAACTATAGTCGCTTCGCTCGCTAGTTTAAGCGCCCCGGGGCGCGCGAAGGATGATCGTCCCGCTTCGCGGTTCGATATTGATACGCGCTTCGCGCGCATTGTCCAAGAATCGCGCTACGCACTTTGTTTGTTTATTACAATTCAAAACCTAGTAGCATTAATTATTTTTTAACTACACTGTGTAATTCAAAATTTTTTCAATTAATTTGGACTTGTTTTTTTCATCGAAATCTAAGTTTATTGAGACGCTTAATGCATATGTAACCGATTCTTAATATGTTATTTTTTGTGTTAATTTCTAATTTTTTTTGTGGAAATTATATGTACCACACCTAAATCTAAACAACTTACATTATCATTTCGTCACCCATTTATGGTCCAATTAGGACTGTGGGTGTATATGTAGATAAATAAAAATAAATAAATAAATAAATAAAATTAAATTTAAAAATTGTATTAATTATACTACCAGAAATTAGTTGAATGACCCAAGAATCCATTTGGTAGAATGAGATTTTGTAGTTGTTTCAGACTTTGTAGATAATTTAATTAATTTTGTAGTAAAATGTGAAGAAGAAAGAAATTATTTTTAGTAATTTTATTAAAAAGAGTAAAATTAATTACACACAGAGTTAAAATAAGTACAAAAGTAGTTATTTTAAACGGGAAGCTTCATATAATCGAATTGTTTTGAAAAATTTATTAGAAACAACTTATAGTCTTTATTAAAATGCGTTAAATTTAATTATACAAATAGGTAAGGTTTAAAGGTATTAGAATAAATTTTTTATCGAGCAAAAAAAGAGAATGGCGGCACTGCAGCTGTTCAAACTTAGTTCCTAAATTTTGCGCCGTGGATTGGCCGGGTCTTTGTAATTAACGAAAATCGACAAACCAAATTATTTACTAAAATAAGATATTCCTCTTCGAACTAATTTCAATTAAGTAAAGGAAAAAATTAATTGAAAATTTAAAAACATTAAAAAAAAGAACTTTAAAGTAAATCCATTTTTAAAGCAACAAATGTATTATATGAGGTTTTGCCCTCATGTTTTAATTCATAAAAATTTTTTTGTACAATTTGTATAAGTGAAATTTTTGGTTTTTATAAATTAAATTTCATTTTCTTAAAGTACTTTGACTTTAAGGATAACATTCTCATCACGGCACTCCCGTTTCACGCTCGAAAATTAGAAACATACAATAGGAAAAGTAGGCATGCATTAACCCATTAACGAAATTTTTACAGGTACTTTGAGGCTCTATTAAATAGTGTACTAAAAGAACCGAAAATTTTTAAATAAACAATTTACAAGCATTTAAAAAAAGATTTTTTTAGAATTTTTGTTCAGATTTATAATTTTTTCAAATCTTACCCATTCAGAATACATTTAAATGCTAAAAATATCGCGTCAAAAATGTTTGAATACGCCATTTTGAATTTTCAGTTGTTTTTAGTTGTGTTGAAGTTTTTACACTCCTAATATGCTTAGGAGTTACAGGTAATAGAAGATACTCATACAATTCCCAAGTTTAAAAACTGATAGGAATAGATGGATCCTTTTCAATATACTTTAACAGTTTAAATTTTCGAGCATCTGATAATTTTATGTACGGTAACAACCATTCAACTTTTTCAATTACTATTTTAAATTCTTTAAGAGGTGCCGTTTGTATAACTGCATTTAAATCAGTTCTTGATCTGGTTAGAATGAGCTCATGTTTAGCACTAATAATAACTTTATGATAATCTTCAGCAAAGACAAAAATCATATTTAGCGGTATACAAACATCAAAATAACCATTATTATTAGTTAATATTGAAGTATCACCAAATTCTAACAAACCAACATTTTCAAGAAATTTATTTTGACTTGCATCAAAAGAAATATAGTTTTTCATTCAACTTGATCTTGATTTTGAACAGTTATACGTATTTCATTACTATTATTATACGTTGATGACGTATATGACTGCTGCACATGCACTTCGTGATGAGCAATTGATTCACCAAAATGATTGGTGAATCAATATTTAAAATTTCTCCTTCCATGGCAAATAATACTTCGGTACACAAATAAACAAATACAATTGCAAAAAATTTTAAATCTTTTTATCCTTTTTTCTTTACGACTTTGAGACCGAGACTTTTGAGTAACTGTAGGTTTTGAGGTGTAGGCTTTTCAGGATTCGTAGCTGACTGATTTGATTTTGGCATTGTGTATTATTTTTATAACCAAAACCAATTATTTTCTTCTTATTATCAAAAACGATGCCCATTATTTTAAAGATTTGAAATGAAGTTTAATCGTAATGGTTTGTCCTTGAAAACTATTCAAATGTCCGTTCTGATCAACAATTCTCAGCTGAATAAGATCTATTGTCTTGACAGCGACTTTACCTAAATGACGTGATTTGGAACTTCTACTATTTATATCCTGGTGGCACAACGGGAAAAAATCGATGGATTGTATGAACTTTTTCCTCATTGATATAAGCCCCAGTAGTTATATTACACTCTACTCTTCGGGAATTAATTTTAATAATGGATACCGGTTGATCAGATTCATGATATTCTTTAGCTTTTAATTTTCGTGCAGAAAATCCAAGCAAACTGCCTATAGAATCTTTAGGTTAAAAATTAATTTTTTTATCACAATAAATTGTACATTTTAAGTATTGTTATTAGGTTTAATTCTGAAAGTAATTTCTTTTTTTAAAAATAAAATGCAAAACTTGATCCAGGTCACTAATTTCATAACTTCCTGTAGGTATAATAATTTCTTCATTATTAACATAAAACTTATTTTTTCCAACATCAATATTAGGAATAGAATTAAAAGTTAAAAATTCAACAAGACCAAGAGAATAATTTTTAAAATGAGACAACTCAATAGGGGGAAAAATTGAGATTCTAAAATGGAACTATTTCCTCATAATGTTAATATAAGTGAATCGTCCATGTTGAAATCTAAGTATTAACTGAATGGAATATTTAATTTATTTATCTTTTATATGAATAGAATACATATTTGGAATATTTAACTAATTGCATAAAAATTTAAGACAGAAATGACCACAGTTAAATGAATCATAATTTTGATATTTTTCATAATTATACATTATGCTACCCCAAATTCACTTAATTTCTTTGTTGGAAGAAAGCTTTTTGCTTTAGCAGCACTGTTTAATTTAGCGAAGCTCATTTTTACTTATATTTATTTTTTCAAAATCTCTTACTAAACGACGAGACATTTCTACACTTTCAATTCTGTGTTTTATTCCTTGAATTTCTTTCAAAAGACTGTTTATTCGAAACTGGAACTCTTCTCTTTTTACACTGTTTGGCATTTGAATCGTTTACGAAATTTAATTGACGACTGATTAAAAAACCCATTTAGAACACTGCTTATATACCGAAAAATTAGTCATCAAATTCCAACATGATGAGATAATAATAATTATTATTAACAAAAACGATTCCCATATCAATCATCATAAATTATCAGAAACATATGGTAGACTAAAAAAATTACGTTATGTAATCTACTTTAGACCTGAAAGGGATATTTTTTAACAAAAATTCTACGAATAAAACAAAAAACCGGGAAGTTATAAACTTGTCAACATATTGTTTATAACAAATCTAATCGCGATAATGTCAAAATAATATTTGACACGTCAAGACAGGAAATACCAAACATTTTTTACAGTTGGGTAATATTGCGCAATCATAATATTTGACAAGAATGTTGGTAATGTCGGTAACAGATTCCTACTCTCTAGAATGCCCACAGCCTATCTACTCCAGTAAAAAATAAAAGATACAAGAACCGCGGATTCCGTTTACAAGCTCAATAGCTGGTAAACGAATCCATGAGAATCTCGGATACAAGCACTTTTCGGTATCCGAAATGCTCATAAGCTTGTAAACGCACTGAAATGGACAACTTTTGTGGGTCTTTTAATCAAGAAAAAGGAATTAAATAGAAGCAGAAACGATGGAAAATTAAATAAGTAGCAAAAATAAATGATTATTTATTAAAGAAACGTACATTTAAACAAAAAACAATTATTCTTACTAATTGTAACCTCTGCATTAAAAATATTTCGAAAACAGTGTTTTGTTCGTAATTTTACCTTGTTATTCGGAACATATGGTATTCTACCTTACCGACCAAAAGTATTTAATTAAAAGGGGTAAAGGAAATTAAAAATGAGCACTTTATTATGTTTAATAACATTTTGATTATTTTAAATTGCTTTTGAAATTGAAAAATCGAAAAACCAGCGTTAAATTACTATCTAATGTCGGTGAGGTAGAATACCATATGTTCCGAATAACAAGGTAAAATTATTAACAAAACACTGTTTTCACAATGCTTTTAATGCAGAGGTTAGAATTAATAAGAATAATTGTTTTTTGTTTAAATGTACGTTTCTTTAATAAATAATCATTTTTTTTTGCTTCTTATTAATTTTCCCATCGTTTCTGCATCTAATTAATTGCTTTTTCTTGATTAAAAGACCCACAAAAGTCGTCCGTTTCAGTGCGTTTACAAGCTTATGAGCATCTCAGATACCGAAAAGTGCTTGTATCCGAGATTCTCGTGAATTCGTTTACCACCTATTGAGCTTGTAACCGGAATCCCCGGTTCTTATATCTTTTATCTTGCTATTTGCTACAATTTTGCAGATAATTTTTCGTGCCAACTTGCAACTTAACATTAATATTATTATTTGGGAATTTTCATTTTATTAAAATAATCATAATCTATTGAAAGGTTTTCTGTTTTTCATAATTTCATTAAAAATTTTCAGCTTCTAGTCAGAACTGTCAGATGTCGTCTATCCCGAATTTATGCGTCACTAGGAGACGAAGAGCAAAAAAATCAGCACGAAAGATTAGCAGCAACGATGGAAGAAGATTTAGAATTACGTTGTGGAAGCTGCAATGAACCGTTCGGACTAGAAGCGGACTCTCTGGAGGCTTTACCTTGCTCACATATATTACATGCCAGGTAAAATCTATATATAAGCATCGAGAATTACATTCTTAGTTAACAAAAAGAAGAATTTTTTTTTATATTTAATATTTACGTTAATGTTTTAAACACCCGTGTGTATAAATCACCAATGTATGCCTAAAATGATTGTTGGCCAAATATTGGTCCTACCTTGGTAGCCCCTTGTTTATATATCTTAGGCTGGTCCTAACTTGGACTTAGCTAGAACATCTAGTTTAGTCTTAGAAAAATTTTTATAAAAAGAGTGATCGAATTTAGGATTTCTAAAATATCCTCAGATAATACATATTAAATTAATTAAGAATTATTTATGTTCTAGATGATTTCAAATATTTTTGTAAAATAGAATTAAAAAAATATTTGTACCATCCTGGTTATTTCCGAATATACTTTGTCAAAAGTTATAAATAAACAATAAATAATTGATTCATTCGTTTTTCAAAAGTTCTTAAGATTTTGTTTAGTGAATTTAATTTTAAAATTTTAAATCTCGATTCAATTTAAATAAAACTTTAGTAGATATATCAATGTATTTATTAAATCTTTATTTGGAAATTTTTCTTTAATTGAAAATACTATGAATTTAAATGTATTTTATAAAGACTTCAATTTGTTATAGTGACAATTTATATAGACAAATCAAATAAAAATATCTAATCTGGTTCAGTAGCCGCAGTCGTTAAAGCGTTCAGGTTAGATCTCTTAGGCTGCTCGCACAAGAAAAGACGGAGCAGTGTGCAGGATGTGTTTCAAATGAGATAGAAAAAGACAGGAATATCGTTCTTTCCTTTTCTAACTCATTTGAAACACATCCTGCACACTGCTCCGACTTTTCTTGTGCGAGCACCCTTAGAGCGCTCGCACAAAAAAAGACGGAGCAGTGTGTAGGATGTGTTTCAAATGAGATAGAAAAAGAAAGAGCGATATTTCTGTCTTTTTCTAACTTATTTGAATCATATCCTGCACACTGCTCCGTCTTTTCTTGTGCGAGCCCCCTTAGGTCATACGTCTGGTGTTCGATTCCCGTAGAGTTCAAATTTTGATTTAACTTTCAGAGTTTAATTTAAAACTTTCAGGATATTAAATATCAATAAGTTTTAATAATGAAGATGAATATATCAATTTCTCCGAGTCATCAATAGGACAGAAAGAACAAAAAACAATTCTTTTTTACGTTTCGGCAGCACTGCTGCCCTTTTCAGAAACTACAATTTTATTATATTAAAAAAAAGTGGATACAAGAATAAATATACAAATTTGTTTTTGAGAAATTAAAAATCAATTTACCGTTAAAGGAATACAAGTTAGAGTTACATCGAAAATGAATAATGAAATGAAGGAACATCTTCTTTTGTAGAAATACGATTAGATACTACTAAAGTATATACAGTTTAAAATCATTGCAAGTATCAAAAATATGGAGAAGAGGTGAATGAACTCCTCAGTAAACAGAGTAAGAGCAGTGTCAAGAGGTATATCAAAATAAGATAGAAGATTGTGAATATATATTTTCATTGAGAAAATGAGTATAATAGTAGTTTCTGAAGAGGGCAGCAGTGCTGCCGAAACGTGAAACGTTCTTTGTTCTTTCTATCCTCTTGATGACTAAGAGAAATCGATATATTCATTTTCATTATTAAATATAACCGAGTGATAAAATCATCATTATTATCAATCAGTTTTGTTGTTTTTATTAATAAAAACAACAGGTTATGTACCCAGACTGTCGTCCATTGCGCTAAGACATCAAAAAGTGTGTGATTGTCTTGAAAACGATCGATTAGACGGAGGTGAAATCTAACCTCAAAAGTGTCGGAAATCATCACGCAAAAAAGCCACTCGAAAATTGTGCACAATGCTACTACTATTTTCATCAAAATTTTAGTGCATATAAATACGTTATCGAATAATACAAGAAAAGTGTTGTTTTGTACACGAAATATAAACGAAGATCCCAACTCGTCGAATTGTCGAAAATAATCAATGAACATTTAGTGTGTATAAGTAAATATGGCATCAAATTTTCAAGTGCAAATGGAGAAATTAGAAAAGGACAACTACGATACATGGTGTTTTCATGTAGAAGGAGTTTTAGTTAAAAACGACCACTGGGAGTACGTTGACGCAACCACAACCAGACCAGAAAACAACGAAGCTACCGCAACTGTAATCTCGCGATTACTCCTTCTGAATTCGGTCATGTTAAAAATTGCACAACATCGAAAGAGGTATGGGGAAAATTAGATCTCGTTTATAAATCAGAAGGCCCCGCCCGAAAAGCAACATTATTAAAACAATTGTTTTTTACCAAAATGAGAGACGATGAAAATATCGCAGATCATTTTAACAGATTCTGTAATATTTTAGATAAATTGACAGAATTGAAAATCATTATTTCGGACGATTTACTCACTAAATTGTTATTGTTCAGTGTACCAAATACTTTTGATAATTTTAGATATGCCATAGAAGCTCGCTACGAGCTCCCGACTCCAGAAGCCTTAAAAATAAAATTATTGGACGAACATAACGCCAAAAAAGGAAAGGACACAGAGACAGATTCACAAAGCACACTTTATGCAAATTCATTAAAACATCAAAATTTTCAACAACGGTAGAAAAATAAAGGATCTAATGTGAATCAAAACAAAGGCAACCAACATCAACAAAATCCAAGGAAACGTTTTAATTGCAACTTCCTCTAAAAAGCCTGGCCACAAGGCCGCTGATTGCAAGAAAAAGGCTGCTGATAAAAAAAATATCTCTTCACTAGCAACAGAACAGAAAGCTTTTTTTACTCTCGCTAAAAACGATCCTGTGAAAGACAAAGCTTTTAGTGTTGAATCAACGTCTAGCAACAATTGGTGTATGGATAGTGGTGCCACTTCACATATGGGTCAAAACAAAAATCTTTTCTCGGAAATGACTCAAGTTGAATACCAGAAGGTTAGACTGGTCGTAAATAAAAATACCCAAATTCTCGGAAAGGGTACCGTTCATCTCAATTTGCAAAATAGATGCCAGGAACAAAGAAAAATTAGACTGGATAATGTTCTTTTCGTTCCAGAATTAAAAACAAATCTTTTTTCAATTTCAAAAGCCACGAAAGGAGAACATACAATAACGTTCAACGAAAGTGGTAAAGAAGTCAAAAATAAGATGAACGAAATTATTTTTAAAGTAAAAAGGAGAGGTGAACTCTATTTTATTGAACCCGACATTTCTGTAAACAAAGAAAACTGTTTAAACAAACAAAATGGTCGAGGAAAAATTTTATACAGTTTTTTAAAATAAATTTGAGATATATATTTGTAAACGTGAACCATTATTCACAAAAAGAACCTTTTTTTACTCTCCAAATCTCAATTAGTAGTTTCCTAGTAATGAAAGAGTGCGTATTCGTTTACCAATTGAATTAGTAATAGTTTTGACTAATTTGTAGTAAAAAACTACTAATTGCTAGTAGAAAACTACCAATTCATTAAGTAAATCGTATTTTTTACTATTTTAAATTAGGAAGCCGATTTAATCCATGAATTAATAGTTTTCTACTAGCAATTAGTAGTTTTTTACTAAAAAAGTTTGCCTTAATGTGCGAAAATTGCTGCTTTTTTTAGCGTACACATAAGAGGCAAAATTCCTGAAATGTCCGAACAAAAAATTAAAAGTTCTTGAATTTAATCCATACTTTTCTAAAATGTTGTTATTGTTGGTGAAAGTCTAAAAATCAATTATTATTGAATTTAATAAAATAGTTTTTGAATTACAACGTTTTTAATTTTTGACTTTTGAAAAAAAAAATTTTTTCAATGTACAATATTTATAAGTAGAATGCATAAAAGTTAACATATATATAATGATTTTTAAAGCTTTTTTGACGAGCTACACGCTGTTAATAAAATTTTTTTTTTAAATAACATTTGACCTTGAAATTCAAGGTCAAAATGTTAATTTACGTTTATCTCAAAATCGGATTTTTTAAAATTATTTTTAACTATCTCAATGGAAAGCTTGACTAATTTCCTACAAAACATGTAATTTTCAGAGTGTGATCTTTTAAAGTTTTTGAGATATTAATTGATTAATTAATTAATGTTTATAACAAATGAAATATTTTACAAACGAATAAAGTTACCGTAATTCTGAAGTTAGTAATTGAAAGTTAACGTAATTCCGCATCCAACGAGCCCTATATGAAGTATTTTGGATAAGTAGATTGTTAATAAACAATCAGTTAACATTGCAATTGTTTATAACCAATCTACTTATCCAAATTACTTCATATAGGGCTCGTTGGATGCGGAATTAGCTTTACTTTCAATTGGTTAGTTTAGATTTATGATAACTTTATTTGTTTGTAAGATATTTCATTTTTTATTGTTATTTAACTAAAATTGAACAAAAATACTTCATATAGGGCTTTTGGATGCTTGTTGTTAGTAAAAAATAAAATATTTTACAAACAAAAAAAGTTATGGTAATTCTGAACTTACCAATTGAAAGTTAAGGTAATTCCACATCCAACGAGCCCTATATAAAGTATTTTGGATAAGTAGATTGTTAATAAACAATTGCAATGTTAACTAATTGTTTATTAACAATCTACTTATCCAAAATACTTCATATAGGGCTCGTTGGATGCGGAATTACGTTAACTTTCAATTACTAACTTCAGAATTACGGTAACTTTATTCGTTTGTAAAATATTTCATTTGTTATAAACATTAATTAATTAATCAATTAATATCTCAAAAACTTTAAAAGATCACACTCTGAAAATTACATGTTTTGTAGGAAATTAGTCAAGCTTTCCATTGAGATAGTTAAAAATAATTTTAAAAAATCCGATTTTGAGATAAACGTAAATTAACATTTTGACCTTGAATTTCAAGGTCAAATGTTATTTAAAAAAAAAATTTTATTAACAGCGTGTAGCTCGTCAAAAAAGCTTTAAAAATCATTATATATATGTTAACTTTTATGCATTCTACTTATAAATATTGTACATTGAAAAAATTTTTTTTTTCAAAAGTCAAAAATTAAAAACGTTGTAATTCAAAAACTATTTTATTAAATTCAATAATAATTGATTTTTAGACTTTCACCAACAATAACAACATTTTAGAAAAGTATGGATTAAATTCAAGAACTTTTAATTTTTTGTTCGGACATTTCAGGAATTTTGCCTCATAAGTATTATCAATTATGGTTATCACTTTTGGATTCTCAGGTTCAGAATTGTATATTGCATTCGAGAATTCAGTCACGTGGTTTTCAATATACTGTTCGGGCGTTAAACCGTCAAAACCAATGTTTTCTGGAACAAATAGCAGCATCAAAGACTGTCTAACAGTTGCGATTGCCAAACTTACAGACTGTCTGCTTGAATATTGGATTATTATTTTCAAAAAAATGTCCGGAACACCTTGTCGCATCTTGCACAAAAATGCCAGCAGATCCTTTCTTTCAACATATCTATTGCCTAATTCACGAGGCACAGGTTCACAAAAATTGTGCAATTCTTTGAATTGAGCTTTTGTAATTGGTGAAATTGCTCGAAAATCCTCATCAGACAAGGAGTAAATGTCATTAAAATTTACTCTATTTATAGAAACATTTCGAAGTCCAGCCAGAAATGGTTGAAAATCCTGACGATTAATTCTATAAGGTCTGTTTATGAATCCTAAATCAAACAATAATTGCGGCAAAAGGAATTATCGATTATCTAAATGTTGCGCGCAACATTTAACATCTCCTGGAATATAAATATCCCGAGAAAGAAAAACATTAGTTCTGCAGTCAACAGTAAGTCTATGAATATTTTCAACGCGGTTACATATTAAGCAACTACGATTTGCCGTTTGCGTTAAAACACTTAGTCTTAAGCACTGAGGGTTTTGTTCTAGTTCCAATATTTCATTCGTAATTGATTGATTGCAATTAATGCACAACCTTGTCCTATCAGTTACGACTAAACCAGGTCTTTCAAATCCTTCACGTCTAGCAATAGCTATTTCACGTCATCATCATCATTTCTATCGATTCGAGCCATTTGCCTTATGCCGTATGCTCTGTTACAAATGTAACATGCTAATCTTTGCATGGAAGCCATTTTTATATTATTAACTTACGCAATCAGCCAAAATAATAAATCAAAATCAGATAAAGAAAAATAATTCTTAGAAACTCAAAGTAAATAAAGAAAATATTCTATTGATATAAAAGATTCAAATAATAATGAAAAAAAGTTCATTTCATACGTTCTAAAGTACCTAAACAATAATTTTTTCATCATCAAGTTTGTGGTCACCTATTAAAAAAGGACTTTAAACAATAAGGTAATAGTTAAAAAAATTACTCAAAATGTAAATGATATATACACAAGCTAATCAACTGAAAGCAATAACTTTATTGCTCATCAACTCACAAACCTACCTTCATGCTTTGTTAGCAATATCATATAAAAAAGATATATGTAAAAAAAATACTTACAACGTAAATAATATATATAATCGCTAGTTAAAAAGAACGATTGTTGAAAATCACTATGCAAGTGCAGAAATCAATTTCGCAATTACCAAGATGCAAGAAATAGTGGGACCAAAAGTCTTATTTCATGACTAAAATAATCTCATAGAGAAAATTTTCGAAGTCACGAAAAGTTAAACTCTGTATGTGGCAGTATCTAAAGCAGAAATACGAAAGTGGTCGTCACGAAGCAACAGAAGAAACTCTTATGAAACTGGACAAAGGATTCGGGAAGGAGAGAAGGATTACTGACTGCGCGATAAGTTTTGAAGGTCGATCCTCAATGCTAAAGTCATATTAGAAAAAAACGTCAATTAAATGATTAAAAATGAAAAGGCATAAATATTTCACATATGTTATTGGTTGTTCGTGTCATAATTGTAGTTATCATAAAAAGTCTACTTATAAGTATTAATCTTTCTGCGTCATTAAAAACAACTTTGAATACTTTAGTTTAATCCGTTAGTGATATGAGTCCTTTGAAAACTATAATAGTTAATCAAAACAAAAAAAGTTGATCAATAGTTGTTAATTACAACTACAATCACCATTAATGTACTTTAATCATTTTTTTGAACAAGTAGTTTACTTGTTAGGTATCAGAAAAAATAGTTCAATGCATGAATTGTATTTAAATATCTATTATCCAACAATGGTTGTTATGGTTGTAAGCATAATCATCATTAATAACCATTTTTTGGAACAAGTGATTAGGTATCAGAAAAAATCGTTCAATGCATGAGTTGTATTTAAATGAACTGCGAGTCACTATTATCCTACAATGGTTGTTATGGTTGTAACCATAATCATCATTAATGTAGTTTTACCATATCTAAATACATGTTCTATGATATTTTTAGCTGTATTTACATCAAGAGTCTATGTTTCTTTTTAACTGTTTACTGTTTACGTTTTGCCAAGCTTTGTTCGATTTTCGTGATTTTTAGTTTTTTAATCGCATATAACTAAAAAACTTTGGTTTTTGGCATTAACATTTTTTGTTCAGGAGGTCATAAGCTACAAATGTGCAGAGTTTAAAAAAATTCATCCGGGAACTTTTTTTCCATGCTTTTGGTGCGGGGTTCTTTGAAAATTGAATTATTTTTAAATTTTGTCAATTTTTCATAAGTGATATAATTGTTTTTTTTTTGAGCTGGCAAATTTATTTTCAAAATTAATTTTGTTAGGTCTCTAAAAAATTATGTGGTTAAGTATAAGTCCACTTGACACTATTTTAAATTGAACTGAATGTAAAAATTATATTTATTTTTTTAAAATAATAAGAAAAAAGTTTAAAACTTGCCTTGAATAATATCTGTTATTTTTTAGGTGTGCATATGACATTTTAAAACGACGGGACAAGAAAAAGAAGCGTTTGTGTCCCGACTGCCATAAATCCGTCAGTTCTCGATTGTACCTTCATTGTGACGATCCTCATGGTATGAATACTTTAAATCACAGTTCCTTAAGTTTAGCATCGTTACGAGCAAGTAGTCTAGCAACTCTGGAAGATTGTCACGCAACCAGCAGTGTTTAAAAAATAATGAAATAGGTGCCAACGATTTACGGGTAAATTATAGGGCTTTGTACAAAATTATTTACATTTGTTGCAAAACTGACATAACAGGGTTTTTTAACATCATAGTTACATTATTATTTATACACTATAAATATATTTAATAAATTAATATTATTTTCAAAATGTTTCGTAAAAATATTCTTCAATAAATCTGTGTAAAAATCTTCTTCTACATCCTTGTAGAAAGAAATTCATTATTTTTTATCGGAGAAAAATTATTTTCATTGAATGCAATGCAGTACGCGATATGTTGTACAAAATAAATGAAAAAGTAAGACTGGAAACGGTACATGATTTTCGTTGATATGAAAAGTTCCTAACAGTAATTTCATTGTTTCATCCTATATTTTCAAAATATTACAAGTCACACCTAGTTTCTTTAACAAAACATCATATAAGAAAATAAAAAAATAATTGATTTTTCAAAAGGTAAAGAAAAGGATAATATTAAATGCGAACCATTTCAAAAAAATATTTTAGTGAATTTTGAAACATGTTATGAATTTGGATAAAACTTTTCAAGTTATTAGTACTCTATTTAAAATCCCTATACAAGATCTTGTACAGAGATTTTAAATAGGGATATAAATCAACACTAATGTTTAGCAAAATCAATTCAAAATATTAATTACACAGACATAAAAATTTATAAACAATTTTTTTTCTTTAGTATGAAAATATTTTTCAATGTATTTTTTTGTGCTGAACACAAATGTGGACTTAAAAATTACTTACAATTAGAAACAATCGAGTATTTGGTGATTTTCGAAAAAGTATTTGTTTGGAATTAAGCCTGTGTTATTTAAGGACATTGTTGCACAATACATAGAAAAAAATTTTTTAAAAATCGGTTTGGTAAATTTTGAGAAACCAGAAAGTCCCCTTTATTTATTTTGATATTAATTTCATTAAAATGTCTATGAAATAACCTAGTATAATTATAAGTCACTGAAATTTTTTTAGGCGTAAAAATACGTAATCCCTTAATGAAATAGAAAAATTTGAAATTAGTAAAAACATAAATCATACTTTTTATTTTTATTAATTTAAATATTGCAATGAAAATGTAAGTGAAGTTTCATATAATTCCATAACATGTTTGAAAATTCACTAAAAGACTCATATATACTTTAAAAAGAGAAAATTTTTATAACTCTTAACAGAATTTAATATTGATAAGAAAATAATTTAACAGCACATAACAATAAAATATTAAGTAAATAAATTTTCAAACAAATTTTCGGATTTCTCAAAAAATAAAAAAATCAGAGAGTATAAGATATCATATTATTTATCAAGCAGAATAATAAAATATTCGTTCATGTATAGAAAGTTCAATATTTTTCCTTTAAGTGAATAATAAATGTTAATGTATTAAAATGGAATACTAAAATATTCTTTTTCAATACTAAAGAATAAAATATTTTCTATTAATCTGCATAATAAAGAATTCTTTATTGTTAGAACGAATAATGAAATATTCTTTATCAAAAAATAATAAATATATATATATATATATATTACTGAATAAAGTTGATTATTGAAACAATAAAATAACTTCTTTAAAGAGTAAAATATTATTCTTTTTTTGCTCAAAGGAACTATATATAATAAAATAAGATGAATTATTGTATATTTTGTTTATAGAATTAAATAAAATGTATTAATTTAAACTTAAAACTATAATATATATATATATATGCATTCAGTTGAGGTTAAAAATTATACTTTACAAAAGAGTATACTTGTCGAAAAAACTATAGTGAGAAGAATAAAACATTTTCAAGCTTTAAGGAGTACGGATCCTTGTTAGCTGTTAAAATAAACTTATAGTATATAGAAGGTTTTTAACTTAAGTATAATAAATTATCAAAACTGTGTGGTATTTTACTATCAGAAAAGGTTATTTAGAACAGATAAATAATTTAAAGAGAAGAAATACGCAAGAGTCTAATTTATAATATTTATCTATATGACATACACTGCACTGCACTAGCAAAAAAACGGTGCTGCACATATAAAAATTGTAATTTGTATATATGTAGAAAAATTTTATTGTAGAAATAACTTATCACTTACTATCGTAGGTGCGATTGATCATAATTACTCAACCCTTGACAATCCCACTGAAAAAAATTCAGATAGGTAAACATTAATGAGAAATCTAAAAGTAATTTGCTTTCCGTTTGTAAAAAAAATGTAGAATAAAAATAAAACAAAAGTCAATAAAAAAGTATTTCAAAAATAATAGATTATTACACAGTAAAACAAAGATAACTATCAATTTTTTTTGACTAAAGGTAGAAAAATTTGACATAAAACATTTATCTCAGATTTAAGAAAAAAGAATTTTAATTTTTGAATATTTGATTATTGACAAATATTTTTTAAAAATTATTTTTAGAGTACCATTTTTTTAAAATTTTCTTTAAAAATTAATTTAATTATTGAAGTAACTAACAAGAAGTAATTTTCATGAATAGAAATAAATATAAGACTGCAATAAACTTCATTTAACGCCAAATTACAAATAATCGTGTAGAAATTTGAACTAGATTCTGGTAGGGGCCTTGCTAAATTAAAACTTCCTAAAAGAATCGAATTCTTTCGAATCGTCGAATCAATAATAAAGAATAAATTTAAGGTATCACATCGGTAAAACCGTTTTCTATAGATTTTCTTGAAAATTTTACCATATGTTCTTATTATCATTCTTGACAAATTTGCAAAATATGAAGAATTTTTGCCGTACGAAACCAGAGATATTAGCAATCAAAGTTGCTTATTTTGCATGGGAGACGGGACTAATGTATGGGGGAGAAGTACATTTTCATAAATATCATCAGAAGTTTTCTATAAATTTTTTTCAAAAACTAATGTTGAATTCACGAATAAATTTGGAACTAAAATATACAAAGAAATTTATAATTTACCGTGCCGTTTATTTGTAATTATAAATTAAAAATTTTATTTCATGACGTCATTTGCAATATATAGCACACCTGCCACTTTGATGTGGCAACATCGCAGGATGGTAACATTAGTTAGAGAGAGACAGTAGTCCACAGTAGTCAAAGCGAGACTTATAGCGACGTTGTCAAACCTCACCGCGCTACCCCGCCTGAACAGACAAGATTCCGGACCTGTATATACGACCGTGGGTATACGTGTACGAGTGTATTTGTAGAAGTAGGTACAGTATGGGCTGAGAGTATAGGGAGTTGAGGGCGAAAGAATAGTGCGGGAAGTAGTAATGCGAGCTACAAACTTTTGACTCCGATTAGTGCCGATGTGATACCTTAATTCGATCATTTACTTTTAGTATAAATAATGGTAGGTAAAAAAATAAAATTATGTTCGAATATCAATTTATCTAAAAAGTACCCAATAGGCACGGGCATCTGCTGGATGTTCCAAGGACATCCTTTTTTAAACATTCTTGGGACATTTTTTAAAAGACGTTCTAAAGATATCCTTAGAAAATCCTAAAAAGGCATCCTATAGATGTAAAAAGGAATGAAATAAAGACGTCCTAAACAAGTTCTATGTCTGGCCTAGAGCAGTTACAAAAATATTCTTACGGGGTTATATACCTACATGCGCGTCAAAAAAGAAGAATTTTCAAAAAAATTGTTAGCTGTTTTTAAAAAATTTTTTTAAACAAAGTTTATTTTATCGAATAGTACATATTTCGATGTAGTTGTATATAAATTTTTATAAAAAAATATAATTAATTGAGGAAACTGTTGATCTTGCACTAAAACACCTTTTTTGATAGCTGCTTGCGGTGACTGTGATAATTCAGACAGAGTTTAACTAAAATTAACAAACAATGGAAATTTTATTACTATATTATATTTCCTCGTGCGTGAACGAAGAATTTTGAAAAAAAATTTCTAGAAATGGCGGTGCTTTTTTCTCAAAAATTATGATTTTAGGGTTTTAAAATTTGGTTTTTTGAACAAAAAAATATTAATTTTCGTTCAAATTTAAATTCCTTCGTTCACGCACTAGCTACTGTATTTATAAAGAAACCCTGAAAATTTCAGCCCGATCGGTTGGGCAATTTTAAAAAAATCACAGTCACCGTAAGTGCAGTTCTCAAAAATCACGATTCCTAGATAATAGCCTTTAAATTTTCAAGCGTATATATACTTTTCTAAAAAAAGTAGCGTATTAAAACAGCCATAACTTAAGTTTTAATGCTCCGATGTTGATGAAATTTTAGGAAAACATTCTCGAGAGTATGTACTTTTGATATATGCAATGAAAAAAATCGATTTTTTGACGTATGAAAGGTATATAACCCCTAAGAAACATCATGGTACACTCTAGGAACACAATTCGTTTTCGGTGAATTAGCTCATAAGGATATATGTTTAGTAGTTCAGTTTCATTACTTCTGATTAGTTAAAACATTGCAATTAGCAGATGCACGTAAAACAAGCTACATTTTTTGACGTTTTTGAACAAAACAGTTGTGCCCCTATTCAAAAACCCTATAAAAGATCTTGTACAAGAAAATGTACATGTTCAGCAGCTGAACTTGTACCTGTTTTGGTGAGAATATGTACAAGATCTTGTACAAGTAAATATATTTAATATTTGTATACAAGAAAATATGGGGCAAAATTCCTCAACTGTTCCCACCCCAAAAATTAATTTCTCAAGATTGAGTTGATACTTGGCTGAAGTATAGTACTACTAGACCTACATTCAACCACCAAACGATTTGACCCAACAGCAAAGGGCTTTCAAAATGCAGGGGTTCGAAATTTCAACTCTCAGTCGATTTCTCGAAAATTCAACTTAACATAATTTTTATAAAACTTGTTCAATTACGCTTTCATTATAGGTTTT